TTTTTTTTTCCTCATAAGATTTCAGGATTTTTCCTTCTTTTTTTAAACATGTTTACCTTACCATCATTTTGGAAATAATCATTAGTGTATTACTTCACCGTTTTTTTCTTCTTTTTAAGATTATTTCCAAATTTTGTTTTTTTAGTTGGGTTTAACAATAAAAAAAACAGCTTTTTGTAGCGATTCAGAAAACCGGAAAAATCAGTTATCCGGAATAGCGATAATCCCGATCGTTCCGGATAATCGGTTCCCTACTGTATTATATATGTATTATGTATACTGTAAGTATATATAATTTTTTTTTTTTTTGGCAGTCTCAAAAATGTTGAACAGTGTAGATTATTTCCTAACTTACTTGCTTTTTTACCAAACATGTTAAATTCATCTCGTATGAATAAATTATCCTGACAATAAAATATGAATAAAGCCTTACTGTTAATAGATAATTCCATTCAATGCATAAAAATTGCCTTACATTAAGGTCTTTTTTTTTTTCAAATGTTAAATTTATTATTTTCTTTTCAAATTTTGAATTTATGTTTGTAACATTTAGATATTTTCTAACCTTTCAAATAAGTTTAGAATTTTCCATAAATTTAAGTGTATGATTATATCTCTTACTATATGATGTTCTTACTCTCAATATTACAATATCTTTTTCTTTTAACCTTTTACTTACTGTGCATGACATGCTGATGCCTGTTATTCTGGCACATCAGTTGTACCAGCTGCTAGCAACAGTTAGAAACTATCAATGGGATTACCTACTTGAAGTAATAATATGAAATAACTTCAAAAGTGTATGATCATATCTGCTGTTACTATATGATGTTCATACTCTCAATATTACAAAATCTTTTTCTTTTAACCTTTTACTTACTGTGCATGACATGCTGATGCCTGTTATTCTGGCACATCAGTTGTACCAGCTGTAAGCAAAGGTCAACAGATCGCAATGTGATCACCTACTTGAAGTAATAATATAAAATAACTTCATATTATCGTTTCCCCATATTAACCCATCTTAATTAAATTCATGTTTTAAACAAATTTATTGTTATTATTTTTTATTTATTTTTTACTTGTTGTTTTTCTAAATCATATTTATCTTTTAACAGAAATATTTGGAAAGATGCTTGCTGATGCTGAGAATTTCAGTTCAACTGCTTGGTTACTAGCAGTATGTATGATGGCCATTACCGTTCTCTCCCTTTCTTTATTAAGTTTTGCTCTCATATGCCGTGAGCAACGTAAAAGTAAGTAAAAAAACTGAAATAAAATAACTTTTGAGTTAGCCCCTTTATAAGGCATTTTTTTTTTAGTAATATTATTTTAAAGTATTTTTGGAATTCAGATTTGATAATAAAAAGAAATTCGTTGAAGTTCTTACCATAAATTCATTAACTTTTAAGTTGTTTTTTTTTTTGTGGAAAGGTGGGTGAGATTTTAAAATTTTATTTACTGTGAAGAATTAGCTATATGCTTTAACTTTTGTACTTAGAAATAATCTGATTTATAAATACAAATAAATTTTATGAGAAATGATTAATTGAATTAATACATGACGCTCTCCATTTTCTTGGCTTCACTCTAACATTTACTGTTGCCCACATTTATTTAAACAAAAACTCTTTGTTTTTGTTTTTTCATATTTTCTGAAGCTTAGATAGCAGCACAAATCCTAAGAGAGAAAATAGTTTGTCATTTTTTGATAAGTATGTTTCCCACAGCCTTATAAAGCAGGGTTGGCAAGTTTTTGACACATGACGGTTTTTACCGGTTTATACCATGGTTTTTACCGTCATGTCAAAAACTGTCTAAAACCCATAGTTTTGATAAAACTGTATTTTAATTTGAGTTTAACTGCTTATGATTTAAAATTAATTAATTTTTGGGCAATAAAATTAGAAAAAAAGTTGTTAAAAGATATTTAAGAACAGATTTTTGCATTCTGCCAACATGATTATATCAAATCATACTATTTGAAATAAAATATTAGGATACTAAACAAAATTTTCAACATTTCCAAGCATCATTTTGTTTGGCATATTACATTACTGAAGAATGTCAAGTCATTCTTGTATTAGAGTTTGTATGTAGTTACAAGTTTTGAAAGTTTTGTTTAGCTTATTTCTAATATTTAAGAAATGCCAAATTTTAAATTCTTCTTTTTAGTTCTTGAATTTATTAATAGTTCCAAGTTTTTTTGTTTGTTTGTTTATTTCTAACAATTAAGAAGTGCAAAATTTTGAATCCTTTGCAAATCAAGCTATAATGATAAAAGTTAAGTATCACTATTTTCAATAAGTATGTTACAATATTTCTGTATGAATGTATATCCTTCTATAAGAATACGTGTATATAGTTGCAAAATCAATAGCAATCATTTACAACATTCATTTATAACGGCAATTAAGTGAAAATAATATATTGTCCGCTATATGCCATAAATTAAAGAAAACAGTAGGTTTTTGACGGTTTTTACCACTGTCATGTCAAAAACCAGTTTTTGACGGCAAAAACCCAACCCTGTTATAAAGGGTTAAAATTAAATGCATTATAATATTTATTGGTACTGTCACTTTTCATTTTAGAGTTAAAAACCCTTTATTTTTCTTGTTTAGAAAATTCTGAAGAGGGATTGCCTCGTATAATAACCAATCCTGGATTTGAAATAGATCTAGAACAAAGTTATCTTCTAGAACATGCTGATTACAATGATAACACAGAGAAACCTTTTCGAATCAATAACAACACTGTTATTCAGCCGTCCTGTGTATAAAAATGAATCCTCATATTTTTTTGCATGTTGATTGTGTTCACACGCTAATGAGCTTTTAGCTATGATGTTTAATGTGTAAGCTTTGTTCATTTTTATTATACTTTTGTTGATTTTTTTCTTTGTTATTATGATCACCGAACATTTATATTGTGTAATGTTTGTCATTATATTTGCATAGTTAAAATGTTTGTAGATTTTGCTGAAGTTAATTTATGTAAATGTATTTTCATTTTTGATTAACAGAATTATCTGTTTCAAAAATTATTTCTTTTGTCAAAAAAGATTCATTTAATACAAATAATTTTTATTTTAATTTAAAAAAAGTATTTAAATTTTTTAAGAAAAGTATTAAAACTTATGATGAATAAGAAATGGTATATCTGTAATAAAGTGTATTACAAAAAACTTTTTTTTTAAAGTTTTAAGTTGATCAAAAGTTTTCACTATTGTCACATATGAAGCAAAAAAAATATTTTTTAATTAAATTATAAATTTTTTAAAAAGTCTAAAAAAATTTTACGAGGGGAAGAATGGGTTTAAAACGTAAATTTTAATTTTTTTCATAAATTTAAGTTAAGTTTTTTTTTAAAAAAAAGGCTCGAAAATGTTATTTATATGCATAAATGAATTTTAAGTCTCCCAAAACCTGTTTGAAAACTTTAGTTTCCATCAATGTATGCACATTTTTTCAAATTTCAACCCATTCTTTAGGTTAGGTGATTATATAAATTTTGGGTGAAAATAAGTAAGTTCTGGTAGTCCTAAATTTTGACCCTTCTTCCCCCCTAAAAAAAATCTTTTCCTGGCCCATTTTATAAGACTGGATTATTTTTCAATTAGGCTTTTTGATAAATATATGATCAAAGCTTGTATCCATTTCAAATATTGAATTTCGAGAAAAAAAAAGTTTTTTATAATGCTTTTGTTATATAAGTGCAGATTTCTTTAAGAAGTAACTTTAATTTTTCCTTAATTCATTGCGAACTAGAAAAAACTTATAAAACTTAAAAAACTTATGATGAGTTAAGAAATGTTTTTTTTGAAAATTGTATAATACAAGAGAAAAGTTCTCAATTTTAAATTTTCCAAAGTCTAATCAAACTGTATTATTTGTGTTTTGTCCTAATTTTACTATGCACTATTCTTTGTAATGTGTATATCTTGTATGTGTAGTGGAGATTATGAAGATCATAAATGTTCATTTAATTAGCATTGAAATGAATGTTTTTTTCAGGTCTGTTTATTAGTCTGTCCTGACTTTTATAATTTACCTAAAGTATTATTCATTAAAATATTTGGCTTTAACAATTTTTTTTATAAATAATTTTAAATATAATAGTTTAAACTAGTTCTAGTGGTTGAAAAATACCATCGAAAAATAAGTCATTATATTGGTCTATGAGCTATACTAAGCTTTAAATTATTAGTAAGCTTGTAGTTGATAATGAGTATCATGTTTGCTATGAATTTTTAATAGAAACATTTGTAAAGCAGTTAATGCGTTATAGAAAAGCAGTATTATTGCAAAGAGTTTTGGCTACTAAAATTAATTAATAAGTAAAGACACTTTTTTAAAGAGCAGAATGAATTATTCTTTATTGAATTTTTTTGTTATATTCTGAAACAAATATTTTATGCGGCAGATTTTATAGTAAAGGCTATATATTTTCAAATACTTAACCTTAATCTTGCTAGGAAGAAAAAGTTTATAATGATGTTTTATTTTATGAAACACAAATATTATTTATTGATAATCATTTTCTAAACTTACAATTGTGTGCTTTTTATATATATGTATATCTGTATTTGTTCCTTATTGGAGTGCAGAGATGGCAAGTTTTTATTTTTTGATGAAACATTTGATGGTGAAATAAGACAATTAAACATCAGACAGTAAATAATGTGCTAAAATTGTTTAAAATAGACAGAACATTTTAAGCTTTTATCTAAAAACTAAGCACTTAAAAATCAGTGTATTTATTTCCATTCCAATTTTATTTACTAAAATCAAAACTATTTCAAATTAGTTTCTTTAATAAAGTTAAGGAAGTAAATCAATTATAAAAAAGTTTTTCTTGTAAAACATGTATCTGTTTTTAAAAAATTATAAAATGTTAATAGCTATAAATAGAAAAGAAGTCTTAAGTTTTTTTTTTTTAGCTATTACTTTTACTAATTTTGGAAGCGTGATTTAATGTTACACTACAAATCTGTTTCATTATATGGCTTCTTCCACATTATATGTTAGTTATGAACTCATAAAAAAAATATGTAAACTTATTCATAAGTTATTGAGCCCTAGCCTGCAACTGGCTGTTGTGAAAATGCTTTACATTTACGCAAACATTTCACAACTACCTGTTGCAGGTACATCGAAACATTATTTCTTTTTTTTTTTTATTCGTTTACCTCTTTAGTTAAAGGCTGCTATTTTTATGTAAATACTCTTAAATGTGTATGCATTTATGCAAATAGCATTTGGCATGTGAGCTGTTATTTAATATTTAAGTGATATATAAATTTTTTAAATTTATAATATTCAATTCATAAAAATGTTTAATTTATATGATCTTCAACTCATTGAATCTCAATGACAGAAAAAAAGTACCCAAGCTGTGATTCCACTTTCAATTTATCTAAATTTTTTGACACTGTTTGTCTGTGCCAAACTTTAAAATTGTGTTCTGCCAAAATTACCAATACAATGCAAATAAAATAAGATTTATCATTAATACAAAGCATATTTTCTAAATTCAGTTGGTCAGACAATTTATTAGGTATTAAAAGTTAGAAAAATTAAGCTGTTTCTACAATTTTTCAATTGCATTTTTAGACAGAAGTTTTTATCTTACTTTAGTTTCCCATGCAAGTTTTGTAAAATTTTTGATTTGTTTAAAATATAAAAAAAGATTAAACAATGACTTTAATATTCATGTATGTAAAGATTTTTTTTTTTGTGAAGCGAGTTAACAACTAAGTCAGAGAAAAGAATATATTTTCTCTTTAAATATGGTATTAAAATTTGTATACCTTAGCTATTGTATCAACTTGTCATTCTCGAATACTATTCTTGCCTTTTTTTCTTTTATTTTTGTTTAAGTTTCCAATGATTCATGTTAGATCTTGCAGCTTTTTGTATAGTTGTATGTTATAGGCCATATACACCTGTTATTAGAAATGTCGTTTAAAACTTTGTTGAATTTGTGTGAGTGTTCACGTTACATTCCTTTTTTATTAGAAACATTTTTAGTGTCTTTTTTGTAGTTTATTAAAGTATTTGTTGTGCTTTTCTTTGATGATGTCCAGACACTCAAATGAATACGGTGCTCTTGACGCGATATTGTCTTTCATTTTATTTTATAAATATCGGTCATCCTTATAAATGTTTGTCATTCTTTTAACATAATAAAACTTTTTTTATTATTAAATTCACTGTGTTGAATTGTTTTATTCAAATAGTTTTTATTGAAGCATTTTTCCTTTGATCAATTAGATGAATAATTTTTAAGTCCTGCAAAAATTTAAGATTATACAGAAAGAACTTATATAATGTAAACTTGAGTTGTTTATTACTTTTGATTATTGTTACATTAATTTTAGTATTTTATTACATTTACAATACGCCTTGCTTGCATATTTATTTAATAAAAAAATATTTTAAACAAACGCATTTAGTGATTTTGCGCCAAAATGTTTCAAATTACTTTAAGAATTCTCAAAATATGGCAAAATACGCAAAAATTAAAAATAATGTTAAGGGGTCCAAACTTAATACTGCTCTCCTGAAAAACTATTGAGACCATATTTCCCAGATTGTTTATACTTCCTATTGGGGATCAGAAATCCGTCGAAAAAAATGGTACTTTATTTTTCAGAGAAGGTACGTTTTTGTGTCTGATTTTACATATTTGAAATTATTCACTCAAACCATTAAGATTTGTGTCCTTGAACGTGAAGATCCGATCATTATATCAAAAGTTATTCAGGTTGTTCCGATTATTTATTACTTTGCGCACTGTACGTATGACATGTCTAATAATCATTCAATTTTTTTTTATGCAATTGCAATGTATTTTTCAAGAATTTAATTTATAAGCCTGTGTCTCTTATTTTAAAAGTTCAATATTATAATTCAAATGCATTTACAACTGGGTATTAATTAAAGCAAAGTATACTTTTCGAATTTTTCGATTAGAATTTCCATTTTAACTTTTTCGATTTAAATTTTTATTTTGAACATATGTAACTTTCAATATTGCTTTTTTTAAAGTTGATTTAAATGTGATTTAATGCCAGTAGAAAATTAAAAAGAGATCGAAATAATTATTTTTCATTTTGATTTTTAGTTTCTGAACATACATGTGTAAATAATATTTTATTTTTAAAATTAGTATATTATTTCAATACCAGAACAGGTGAAATCAGCGAAACGATTTTAAAAATATCTGCCTATTCAGTTCCGAGGGTTGGCGAGTATGGTGTGTTATGTAATTTAACTCTTTATTTACCAAATTGTTAAAAAATTATCAAAAGTGAGCGAAACATTTTCACACAATTAAATAATGTCTATTTTACACTTGAACAAATATTTTTTTTAAACAATATTTTCTAATTTTTTTTATAAAATTTTAAATTTGGAACCACCACATTATAAAATTTTCATCCATATTATAAAATATATAATGCTTTCTTTTATAACTAGTTGAAAATGTTAATAAATAGTTTAAAAAAATATGAAATAATTAATTGCAAAATTGATCGAAATAGAAAGCTGAGAATTGAGGAATCGTAAAATGGCGTCCACGAATGAACAACTAAATAGTTCCAAAGGTGATGTCTAACTTTAAATTATCGTGAGTTGTCAAAGATTCACGATTATTCATAAGTCATTATAGGAACAGAGAAGTTCCGATGGGACCATTTTATTCCGTTTCAATGCTGTAAGGAAATACACTCTATAACAAAAAAATCGACGAGACAATGTACAGAATAGTAAATGATTAAAATTTCAGAACAATTGAATAATTTATTGCAGAGTTACATTAACAAGTTCTATAAGGTGTTGACCCGCCTCTAGCCTGGATGCGACTTTACACATTGTCGACTCTTTTAATTAAACAATTAGTAGAATTATGATTTTTTGCAAAAACCGTTTGTTTGCCACATGTCCTTTTATGGACCTCGTGCCATTAAACTCAGCGTATGAATTTTTTTGCAAAAACGTCTCTTACGTCTGAATAGTAACAATGCGTCTTATTTTGTTTAAATTCTCGTTAACTTTTGGAGCAATTAAATAGTCAAATTGCGTTTTCTTACAAACGCATGAGAGTGAACGAGCTGTGAGGTCTTCAGTAAAAATGTTCGACTCCGGATTTTCCTGAGTACACCCGACTTCGGACTGAGAGCTCGACTCCGACTTATACTCAATTAGAATTTCCGCTAAAACTATTAGTAGTAGTAAATGTGTTATTTATAATATTTAAGTATTAATATTATCACTAAATAAATGATAATTTCAAATTACTTATTTCTATTTCTTATGTACGATTAAAATAAAAGATATTTTACTTAACAATATATTTTTCATAAAAACATAACAGTTGAAGAAATACATTTCAAAAAATATATTTGCACAAAGCATTGAAACAGAGCTAATCTATTATTCGAAAATAACTAAATAACAATATCTCACAAGCTTTATATGAAAACGTCATATATGACAAAGATCATGAATTTTCGTGAACTATGAAACTATTACAAATGGTACACTAAATTCATTTGCATATATTTTCTTTAAATTAATTTTACAATTCAGCTAAATAAATTTGCTCTTGGAATTCATAAATTAATAGGGGATTTATACATTTAACAATATCGATTTTAGTTAAACACTTTCAATAATTTCTTTTCAGCAGTTCAAAAACGTTCAAATGAAATTAATTATTATCGTTTTTGAGCATTTTGAAGTAATATTTCAAATAATTCTCAACATATTCATTTCAGTTATATATATTTGTTTATAAATTATTGTCTAAATAATTTTCATAAGATCTTTTTATTTTTTACCAACAGCAGTAGTTTTTAACCCACGGACTGGTATCGGTCCGTGGATCAAATGGTACCTTGCCGCTAAAAAAAAAAAAGATTAGATTATATACTGTAATGTATTTCTCTCGGGTTTGGGCGAGAAGTTGAAAAACCACCTTAAGCCTCATCGATACCGCGCATTTAACTGTATTTTATTTCGAAGGCTTGTTTTTTAAAAAACAAATTAAAATTAGTGAATCAAAACGATCTAAAGCAAACAACTCCCCAACAGCAATCCACGGCAAAGTTATAAAACGTTGACAAGTCTGTTGAGATAAAACGGTTGGGGTGCATTGACCTACAGGAGGACCAAAATCTTAACTAACCAAATCTTAACTCCGACGTCGGAGTCGAGCAAATTTTTCCGAATCCTTTAAAGTTTTATTCGACTCCAACTCCACACTGCTCTGATCCAACATGAACTGAATCAGCAGTTTTAGAAGTTACCGAGCTATAGTTAACATGAGTCGCGGAGGTCCCTATAGTATGATTACATGTAGCACGTAAACACATGTAGTACATCAAGACTCTATACTTTCAAAACAAAATAATTTTTTATTTATTAGTTTTGATATGCATAACTTATTATCAATTTGGCTCGATCAAATAATTTTAGTTATTGAATACCTGCTAGTGACGTCATTGTAGGTAAATCATGGCATTCGTCGATCAAGATATCCAATCAGGTTCGACACACACGCTTGACGTCGCTTACAGGACATGTATCCAATTAAATCTGATTTAAATCACATGGCTAAACATATTCAATGCACTTCTCGAATTGCGAAGTACCCAGTTTGATTGATAGTAAAGCCCTTTTACGCTGATTTCTATTATTACTAAACAGAGTTGCTTTCAAAAGAATGGAGCTTATAGTATATTTATGATTTCTGCAATATAATATTTAAATATGATTTGAATATTTGTTAATAAAAATT